GGTCCGCCGGACCAAACCCTGGTCCGCCGGACCGGGCATCGACAGAACGCAAGTTGCCAACTTGCGGTCTTGGGACGCGGAATACGCCGGATTCCGGGACCCACTCGCCGTCCCGTCGCCTCCCACGCCTCGATGACGTTGCAGGCTCGCCAATGGGCTTGGGCTTGAGCCCACAAACTCCCTATCTCGCACCATAAACACCTCCCAACCCTGGCATTCAGCCATTCTCGGACAGAAACAGAGGAAGAAAGAAAAGGGGAGAAAGGGAGAGAAAGGAGACGAACCCGGGGCAAGGGGAGCTCGGGGAAGCAAGGAGGAACGTACCTAGACGTGTCCTGAAGGTGCTCACGTCGTGTTCGCTCAGTCCGGACCGTCCTCTTCGGTCCGACTGACTCCACGTGTTTTCCCAGTCTCGGTCCGGAGCTGACCACGCGTGGTCCGGCAGACCGGGACTGGGAACTTCGTCTTCCTCGCATTTTCTCCGATTTCAGTTCGATTTTTCTCACCCGAATCAATTCGGTATGGCTTCCAAATACTCATTAAACATAGATTTACATCCCTAAACATGTTCTAAGTCTCAAACACGCAAGAAAATCTCGAATTGAACCATCAAACATTGAAAACGAGATTGCACAAATCCAACTCAAGCCACTCACCTTGTTCTTGAGTTTGTCCGACCTTGTGTGCGTTCCTCGTGGCTCCACACGACGTGAGCACCTTCAGGACACGTCTAGGTACGTTCCTCCTTGCTTCCCCGAGCTCCCCTTGCCCCGGGTTCGTCTCCTTTCTCTCCCTTTCTCCCCTTTTCTTTCTTCCTCTGTTTCTGTCCGAGAATGGCTGAATGCCAGGGTTGGGAGGTGTTTATGGTGCGAGATAGGGAGTTTGTGGGCTCAAGCCCAAGCCCATTGGCGAGCCTGCAACGTCATCGAGGCGTGGGAGGCGACGGGACGGCGAGTGGGTCCCGGAATCCGGCGTATTCCGCGTCCCAAGACCGCAAGTTGGCAACTTGCGTTCTGTCGATGCCCGGTCCGGCGGACCAGGGTTTGGTCCGGCGGACCGGGGTCAGTTTATTTTTTTTTTTGAACTTTCTCCCCAGTCCGCGCTGTCTGGTCCGAGTCCGGCTGAGTGATGGTCCGCCCCTGACCAGGCCTGGTCCGGCGGACCAGCTCTCTTTTTTTTTTCTTTCTTTTTCTTTTCCCGTTTCTTCGTTCTTTCTCGGTCCAATCCGCACGTGACGACCCTCGTGCCTCTCTCCGGCGTTGCACTATGTATTTTTGGTGATTCCGTGTTATCTCTATTTAATTATTTATTTTTAAATAATTAAATATTCAATTCGGGTTTCGGGGTATTACATGGTCCACTCTCGGATGGACTTGACTTTCTTTGGGTCCATGAGGAGTTGTCCGTCCTTGATGTAATGACCAAGGAACTCCACTTCGGGTTGAGCAAAGCAGCACTTCTCCAACTTGATGTAGAGCTCGTTCTCTCGGAGAATCTCTAGGACTGTCCGAAGGTTACCTGCATGCTCATCTAAGCTTTGGCTATAGACCACGATGCCATCTAGGTACACAACCACAAACTTATCCAAATAATCACGAAAGAGAGTTGATTCATCATAGTACAGAATGTAGCCGGGGCATTGGTGAGGCCGAATGGCATCACTTTGAACTCAAAGGACCCGTATCTTGTGACACAAGTCGTCTTTGGTTCGTCCCCCTCGGCCACTCTTACTGATAGTACCCTGACCGAAGATCCAACTTGGAGAAGATCCGCGCATCCTTAAGCTAGTCAAAGAGGTCAGCAATCAAGGGAATAGGGTACTTGTTCTTTACGGTTACCTTGTTGAGTGCGCGGTAGTCAATGCACATCACAACGACCCGTCCTTCTTCTTTTGGAAGAGAACAGGAGCTCCATAAGGTGCCTTGGACGGTTGGATGTATCCCGCGTCCAAGAGGTCTTCTATTTGACGTTTGAGCTCGGCTAGCTCGGGAAGAGCCATCTGATAGGGAGCCATGGCAGGAGGTTTGGCTCCGGGGATGATCTCGATCTGATGGTCTATCCCTCGTCTCGGTGGAAGCTTCTTTGGTAGTTCCTCGGGCATCACATCTGCGAAATCATCTAAAACAGAACGTACCTTGCTCGGAATGGAAGGTTGATCCGAGGATTTCGAGTCATTGAGTTCTCGGACAGTGGCTAAGTAGCACTCCGAACTCTTGACTCCTCTCTTGAACTGCATGGCCGAGAGAGTTGTGGAGTCTCTCGGGGCACATCGTACTTGGATCACCGTTGGCTTGTCCCTGTCCAAGATCACAAGGGAAGAAGTGAAAGCGGGAATAAACGTACTTACCGACCTGAAGAAGGTAAGGCCGAGGACCACTCGGAAGTCGTCCATGGGCAAGACTATGAAGTCCGTCTTCCCGATCCATTCTCCAATTTGGATCCGAACACCTCGGGCTACACCTACGGCTGCTCGAGCTGGGGAATTCA